ATATATATATATATATATATATATATATATATATATATATATATATATATATTGTGTCGGGCCACCAAGAAGAGCTTCATCAGCTAAATGTATGATTAGGTGTTCCATGGAAACAAAGAAACCAGGAGGGAATATTTTCTCCAACTTGCAAATGGTTTGAGCAATATTGCGTTTCATGTTGTACAAGTCGTCCAAATGCAATGTTTTCAAACATAATACTTGAAAAAACATGTATAACTCTGTTGCGGCCTCACATACCACATTTGGAACAAACCGTCTAATAGCAAGTGGAAGCAATCGTTGCATAAACACGTGAAAGTCGTGGCTCTTGAAACCATAAAAAATGTCATATTTGACGTTTACGCAATTCCCTATATTTGATGCATACCCGTCTAGAAATTTCATCTTTTTCAATTAAGCACAAACTCTTTTAACATTGTCCCTTTCTAAAGTGTAGCCTCCCTTCTTGATCCAAGCCTTCCCTTTGTTGTCTCGTATTCAAACTAACGACCCTTTTTGTTTGGCGTCACAAGCGGAACAATTATTTTATACACCATATTCTGCAGTGACAAAGGAAACAAAAGATATATGGGTGGTTGTCAAAACAAAACCAAGAGGGGTATATGAAGTCACCGAAGCTGAAACAGAAGTTGCGCTACAGAAGCAAATGGATTCTTTCAGCTTGATGAGCGGTTTGAGTTACCAAATGAAGTAAATGTTGGTGAAAATTTGAGCCTAGCCTCAAATATAACTAACTTTTAGAAAATATCTTCCGATGAGAGTGAGGGTTCTGAAGCAGAAGACCACGAAGATGATACAGATGAAGATGATAGAGATGAACCAGTCTATTTTGACTACCCTGGTCCAGATCAGGACGAATGTTAGGAACATTGTTTTATATCATATTATATATAAACTTTAATCTTTTTGTTATCACATGTTATTTGTGATTTATAATATTGTATGTATATGTTAGTCTATTTGTTATTTCTCATTATCATCTAATATATGTGACTATTTTTGTTCTATAAACCAAGATGTCGGATAAATGCCTTGCACGCAACCTTTTTTTGGGTGGTCATCCATCGGTTGTAGGCCATCCTCTTTGCTTGACCCTAGTGGCCTTCCACGCATCCCTCTTACAGGTGGTTTTGTATCAGGAGACATGTCATCTCCTTTGTTCGACCCTAGTGACCTTCTACACAACTCTCTTACAATTGGTTTTGTATCGGGAACCAGGTCATCGCCTTTTCCCGACCCTAGTTTCCTTCCACGCAACGTTTTTATAGGCGGTTCTGTATCGGGAGCCAGGTCATCGCCCGACCCTAATGGCCTTCCATGCATCCCTTTACCGGGTGGCCTTTCACGCACTTCTGTTAGGACAATAAGGTCAGGATTTCCAGGGAGTAGTAGTATGGGTTGTAACACTCCAAAAATCACAATAAATTTAAATTTTAAAAAAGACCAAACATGAATCACTATTGTTTACAAAAAGAGTCATTGTTTCAACAACATTATTTCAAATCAGAGTTTTCCAAAGACCCAAAGACATAAAAACTGGAGGTTGTGTACGATCACGCCTTCACCTTCCCACGATCCTCGAAGGTACCTGAAATCACAAACTAAATTTGCACGGCAAAGCTTAGTGAGTTCCTCAAAAGTACCAACACACCACAAAAATCAAGCATATAGTACGAACATCCAGCCTGACTGGACCGCCTCGCAGGGCCTACAAGCTATCTGGACCGCTCTACGAGCTGCCGACCTGACTGGACTGCCTCGCAGGGCTGACAGCCTATCCGAACCGCTGTACAGGCCGTCGGCCTGACTAGACCGCCACGCAGGGCCTACAGCCTATCCGGTCGTCCTCGGGTGTCTTGGCGTACACCACAATGCAAGACCGCCTCAAACTAACCCAACATATCGACATAAGCAACAACAAACAGAAGCATAGAGCAAAGACATACATATAATCATACGAATCTACTGAATAGCTACAACTATCATATCACTATCCTGGCCAGGATAACTAATCTAATGGCCCGACCTTGGTGCCTTCGACCCACGGGTACAGTTAGGAAAACTTACCTCACAGTCTGAAGAATAGCTGAACAATACACTGCTCCAAATATTGGCTCTTTAGATCACCTATTTAACAGATAGAGACCAAGGCTTAACTATAGCTCAAAATACCCAAAATACCCTTAAGTCAAACTTGGTCAATCCTGGTCAAAGTCAAAGTCAGAGTCAACGTGTCAAGGAATCTTGGTCCAATCAACTGAGTATGTGGGGCGTACTCAGCTCCTACGTTGGGCGTAATCTTGCCTTAATCAGAGTCAGGAGTTTGACCACGTACGCGCGACGTACGATGAGGTACGCACGACGTACGCTCAGAATCTTCATTTCTCAATAAGAGCTTAATGCATTAAGCTCTCACGTCCAAATTTCAGATCTAAGGCCAAAATACCACTAAGAGTCATAAAATTTCCAACTTTACGACTTTTCATGTCCAATAAGTGTTTAATACATAAAATCACAACTTATTAACACCTTAAGACCTTCTAGAGCATGCATGGAGAAAAACTAAGCATCAAGACCATATTTTTATGACTCGAGACCCCTCAATAGGTAAAAGGATGACTTATTTGACTAATAGCATGCCATGCTCAAGAATCATCTTATTTGGGACCAAGAATGCCCTAAATGAAGAAATGGCTAGATCTACAAGATAAGATGATCAAGTTACAGGTTGCTAGCAAGGAGATAATCTCATATCCGAGTTGCTTCCAAGCTCCAAGTTCTTCTCACCACCTTATTCTTCTTTAAGAATATCAAAAAACACAAGGATACACTCAAGATGCACTCTACTCACTTAGGGTTAGGTAGAGGGTCGTTTCTCATATGGAGACTGATGAAGAAATGAGATATATAGGGATAATAATGCTTATTTACGAACCAAACCCTAAGAATTAGGGTTTGAGGATTTACCACATACGCCCAGCGTACGCGATGTACGCCCATCGTAATAGTGTCCGCCCCAGTACGCCTAGCGTACATAATGTACGTTCATTGTACTAATCTCATGGCCAAAATTACCAAAATGCCACCAAGTACCATTCTTGCAATCTTTCTCAAGCCTAAGGGTCAAAATGCAATAAACTTTCATACATAGTGTTAAAATTGAAAATACCTCATCATTGGGATGTTACATAGGCATCATAAATCCCCACATAGGCTTGACCGATGCTATAACAGATACATGGGTGGTACATAATGTTGGGAATGGTATTGCATATGGTTATGGGATGACAAGCAACAATGAGGAGCCTGGTAGTGACTTTTTCTATAATGGGCCTGGGTATGAGCATATGCATGAGCATGAGTCTGAGTCTGAGTCTGAGCATGAGCCTGAGCCTGAGTCGCCAAATCTTCAGACGACCATTATTCAGGTACACAGGGTGGATCAAATGATGCAGATTCGAATGGCTCACATAGACCATTTATCACGCGAAAGGGGTACAAGTAAGTCTTTTTTTTTAATTTTTGATTTTTGATGTTATAATTATACTTATATGGTTATTTCAATATTGTAGGTTTGGGACACAAAAAATCCATTAGGTAATCATGAATATATTTTGACAGTCTATAAATGGACCTTTGGTTACTTTTAGGAAAATTCTGAAGGAAGTTGTCACTCAAATGTTTGAGCGTTTCAAGGTAATATATTTTTTTTCTAATATTTGATTCTCATTCTTTTTTTTTTTGCAATTTAAACATTACTTTTTATTTCTTTACAGACTCAATACTGGTGGGATCCAAATGAGGAAGGAGAATTCGTGAGGGTTTTGAGAATACGTTTAATGATCGCTATATGGATAGAATGAAGGATGCCATGAAAGCATCGACAAAGTCTACAAGAAAAGTCGGGTACATTATCTCAGAGATTAATGATAAATTTGAGATTCTTGAAAATTTCAATCCTGATGTCATACATAGAGGTGTGTGGTGCCGTTTGTGTAGGTTAAGTGATCCAATACATTATTGCTTATTTTGTTGTTTTTTATTCTGTATTGTAACTTTACATACATACATATATATATATATATATATATATATATATATATATATATATAATAGAAATGGGACACAGATGAGTGGAAAAAGAAGTCCGTAAGCAGAAAAAAAACCCGCAACGCTGATTTTGGGGGACATCCAGACATATGGGTGGTAGCATTGGATTCGAAGAGCACTGTATTAAATTGGTATGTAATCATAGTTATAGATTTTAGTGATATGTTTTTCTTTTAACACTAATTACATTAACTATTTTGTGTTGTTTATATAGAAAGATTTGATGGGTGAAGAACCCTCGTTCATTGATCTTTATTATAAGACGCATCTTACCGCCGAATCGAAGAAAATATATTTTGGGGGAGATAAAGATGTGCCGGTGGCTTTTTGAATGAGACATCTAGGGTGGCGATCATAAGTTATCTTTATCTTTTTATGTATCTACTAATATTAGTTTTTATTACAATGACAAAAGATTTCTTTTATTGTAGGAATCATATAACAAAGCCCTATTCAAAAAAATATGGTGATGATCCTACTCAACATAATGTGAATGATCTTGAATTATGGACCCAAAGACGGTTGGTTAGGAAAGGAGGGAAACAAAAGAGTCCTATCTATGCGGCAGGATCCTCAAATCTTCATTTTCTGATGACGGGTGCATATTCTTTCTGGTCAACTTCATTTGTTGATGCCTTTGCAAAGTCACAACAAGAGGTACAATTATTTGCATAATATTTTCTAGAGAAAAAAATTAAGTAGAGAGGTACATTGCTAATATGGATGAAAAAGTATGTTGATATTAGATAAAGTACATTGCTGTTATGGGTGAAAATTGAAGTATGTTGATATTAATAAATTAGGTAAAACACAATGCTATAATGGGTGAAAATTATTTTTGTTGTTATTATTGATATTAGGTAAATAAAATTGTTGTTATTGATAGTAATTTAAGTACATTGATATTATGGATTGGAAATGTAAAGTACAATGTTTTATGGATAAAAAATAAAAATATAGTATGTTATTATTATGAATATTTAAAGTTAGCTACATTGTTAATTGTTAATATAGTATGTTGCTATAATAGATGAAAATTAAAGTATGTTGCTATTATGGATATTAAAAACAATGTACATTGCTAATATGTGTAGTGTGTTCTTCGCCACCGATAGACTGACCCGTTTTCTACTTGCTACAGGTGATGGTGAGGCCGACGGTGATGATTCACTCTGAATCGGTGTCGATTTTCGCTCTTGCCTTCATATTCAGTTTCTTGATTTTGTGTTTTCCCCGGTAAAGCCACCGCCGAAGGTTCCGATTCACGCATTTGTTCTTCTTGGATTCCACCGCCAATGAGATTAGGATTCCTAATTGAGAAGGCCATCCGTTCCTTCATTGCTATTCAATTATCCACCGCTTTCCCTCGATCGATTTCCCTCAAACCTATCCGACTACCAGAAAACACTCGCTTCTTGCACCGGTAATCGTCGTTCTTGTCTTCAAGATCGGAGCTCTACCGCCTTGGTCCAGGTAACTGCATCTCCTACCTTCTGGTTTTTCTTTTTTGATGCAAATTTTGGATTCACCAGCCAACACAACCACCACTAACCTTTCTCGCTTTTCAGTTACCACCATGCGTCACTTCCTTTTAGTTGATGCAGGACACATTTACAGGAAGTGTTTTGGGGAGACAATAAAACGGAACAATCACATGATCATTTAAAATAAGTTATTAGTTACAATTACTTCATCATCCTTAGTAAGTTATGTGTCAGGCTTCATTATGCACACCGGTTGCTTGATGAAATGCTTGAAGCACATCTTCTTTCTATTTCTATGAGTTCAGCTTCACTTTTCTTCAAGCTATGTTTATTTTAATATTTTTCATAACATTCTTATTCCATTGGAGACATTTTTATGTGGATCTGTAGTATAGCTTCAATTTCGTATCTGTCCATTATTTTCGATTGAGAGGCAAACAATTTCAACAATTCAGGTTTGTTATAAGGTTTGACAGTTATTTGTTTTTTGTATTTTTTATCATATCAGCCACAATAATTCATGTTTTAATGACTGTTAATAATTATTTAAAGGATCGATTGCACACTTATGCAACAGCTTCACCATAAATTGATTTTTAACGACAATAAAGTTCAATAATTTTATGCATTTTTCTTTTCTTTTTAAAGGGTTTTAATCGTGGCTGTATATCCCCTTCTCCCCTGCACCCTACACATCTGTTGGCTTCATAAGAACCTGGTAACCCCCTCTCTTTTTTATGGATCTTATCATATATTTTGTTGTTTATTTCAGGACGTGACTATGAAACGAAAAAAAAAAAAAACACCGGGTGCTTTGAAGGATTATGGTAAAAAGTATTGTTTGTTACATTTTTTATGTATTTTTTACAAGCAGAAATAAAGAGCATGAATCAGAGTCTTGCATTTGTTACTGCCATCCATGATATTTGTGCTTCATTAGCAGGCATTGCTGACGTGGATGCTTTTTCTGTTGTAAGTATATTTCAGTGGGTGTGTAGGAAAAATATAAGTTAAGCTAACATTGGTTTTTTGTTTCAGTTGAAAAGGTTATAAGTAAGATGGTTTCAAGAATCAAGATTTCTTCTGTACATGTGTTACGGATCGTTTCTTGATCATTTCCTCATCACCTCGGACTATTACTCAACCGCTATACTAATGAAAGAACCAGGGGATTGATCATTTCCTTATTGATATGCCAAAAAATTCAACCAAATTCTTGAAAATATCAACCAGCCCTTTATCTCTCATGTTAATTACAAACTTCTTCTACAGATTGATAACTTTTGGAGTGTTTCTTAATTTAGGATGCCGAAAATGCCCTTTTCTGGGAACCTCCTCTTCACATATTGTCTGAATCAAGAATTAGTGCAGGTATGTCCAAAAAAATATTAGATTATGTATAATAAGTAGTCTTACTTAATATTTAGCATAAGTTGTAAATGCTACAAGTGTACATCTTTGACCAACTTTGACTTTCATCATTTTGTTCTCTAACAGTGTACCCATAATTGCTTATAATTTCCGCAGTAGACCTTGAGATGCGTAGGAATGAAATCCCCATCAAAGATTTAATCAGGCTTCCAGGACATAGGGAACGAATAGCTGCATGTTTTTATAATTTTATTAAATGTTAATTCTCTCTCATTTGAAGTTGCAGATGGCTCATGTAGCTGCCCTCTTTATAAAACAACCCTAATTGTTGCTCCTCCCTGGAACCCATCAACGGACCATAGGAATGGAATGGATATTGCTGTCTTTTCACATATTTGTTTATTTATATTTTTCATGATTCTTGACTTTTCACATATTTGGTTTTTACTTTTCGTTAGGATTATGGAATGTATATTGCTGGGGCATCATGTCAAATGCTTGAGTTTATTAATCATTCCAGCATAAAGGCCACAATTCAAGTACATATTTGATGTTTCTATCACATTTTAAGAAAATATACAACATATTAAACAACATAATGTTTTTTGTTGTCAGATTAGCAATAAGGTGAAAAGATGTACTTCCAAGAAGAATGATACGGTGGCAGTGGCAGTGACACCATCTATTTCTGTGGGCCCTCAGAGATAATAGTAGAAGCCTCAAATAATGAATGCATTAATAAGATTGATTCTTAACACAAGGTTCTATAAATGTGCAGGTTATATGCTACAGAGGTATTTTACGAAATAAATTGGTTTTCTTTAATTTGAAGCCAACACTGCTAGCATTAGCAACGCCTTTTCCTAGAACTTGGTACAAATTTTGTTTTCTTTGGTATGTTTTAGCATAATTGAATGCTTTATTAGTTCAATTTCCTATAAATTTTATGGAATAACCGACTCTGTTCGATGTTATGAGTGAACAGGAAGGTTTAGTTGAAAAAGTATACTTTTTGTTTCTACTTTCCTATAGCTACGTTCATCTAGAAGTAGAGGATAGAAGTCAGGGAATTGGTCAGACGAAGTGGAATTGAAGTTTAAACATTGACATAATTTTCTTTATTATGTGAAAATCGTCCATAATTTATTGAAAAAAGATGGTTTAGTTGTCAAATTGTTATATCGTTGAATTTATTTTTTTATAGCTTACACATGTTGTTTATACTCTGGGTTCTGGGTTCAACATCAACCCCTGGCTGAGAAATATTTGGAGGTTAGTTATGACTTTTTGCTCACCCATTAATCTTTAATCTTTAATCTTTTCTTTTAACAGTTATTTGTTTTTTATTCTATTTTGCATGTATTAATATAACTAACTGATGTTAGTTTTTATCCATTCAAAGAGATTTGCATTTGGAAAACCATGTGGTGGTGTTAGAAGGAGCAGTTACTCTAAAACACATAAACCAGAAAATACTGACTCGACCACCATAAAAATCAAAGAAAACAAGGAGGAAAAGGTAGCATTACAATATTAGAAAATTTTCTATAGCTTGATTCATATATTTATATTGAAAAACTAAAAGTCACACATTAGAATGATAAATTATGATAATGGATTTTTTTATTTAAAATACAGTTTTTATGTTCATGTTAGCTGCATTTAGTGATTAATTTCTCATTCTTTTTAGTTAAATCAATCTCTTTTTCTTTTTCTTTTCATTACAGGTATTCATCCGTTTTCTTCAATTCTTCATTGAATTGGCTGCCTGTTGAAGGCAATTATGATGGTCATGTAGCTATATACTCAAATTATAGGCTTATAAATTGATATATGGCTTCAATGATTAGAAGAATGTATATGTACATGTGTTAAAGTTATTTTCTATTTGATTTTTATCCAGCCTTGCAGAAGAATATAGTTGAGCTAAAAGTTTGACTTCAGAAGTTAGCAAATCCCAAGTAAGTTTATCCTTTGTATTACCCGTCCAAATTTTTTACACCTGAAAAAGATTAAACTTGCCACATTTTTTCTTGCCATGTTACATATAACATAACTGTTTACTTGATATAAAAGATGCATCTTGAAAGTAGTCACATTTTTCCAACCAAACAGGTGAAACCCTATGGAATCACTTGTGACTACTTTCAAGATGCATCTTTCTGTAAATTTTTTTTTCTTTTTCCTTATTTGTCATTTATGCAGCGCCTACCGATCTCCCCTTTGCGAATTAAAGAGAGGTGGGCTGAACGATACTTATCCTGATAATATACTTGCCCCAGTTTTGAAGGTAAATCCTTTCAGCTTGTGTTTTATTGTTCTTTTGAAAAAATTGGTACAGCTTTTACATTGTTATTAATCCAGTTGAAGTTGGACACATTGTTGTTGGATCAGTGTTAGGACCAAGCTCCCGACGAGCAAGTGAATGCAGGATGGCTGCTTTCCATGCCGACTTTCCTGGCTTGGGAAGGATCTGTTAACCCAAAAGTATAACATTTTTCCCCTCTGTGTTGATAATAATGATAAAAAAAATTCCATTTTGGACTGTTTCTCTTTGCTTTACTTGCATCAGGTGAAAACCATGGCAGAAGCCCAAGATTGTCTTCTTCCAATGGGAATCACATCAGAGAATAGGAACACGATCAGGAATAAATAACAACCTACTTTTATTTCCTATTTTACCAATACCAATGTACTTTCATTTTTTTGTCAAATATAGAAAAATGAAAGTAGAGTGGTGTATATCTGCAAACCGCTGCACCTCATTTATAATATCCAAAGTAGTTTGTTGTTTGTGTGTTGTGTCATGTGTGTGCTAACTGATATGTTCTTCGATCTTGCAACCGAAGTACTAACAAAATGAATGTTCCCTTATTTGGGTATCCACAAATGACTAAGGACAAAATCATCAAAAATCTCCTTCAAAAAAAGAGGCTCAAACAATAACACCCTCTTTAACCTAAAGTCGTGTTCAAAGTATAAACATATAGTTCATGAAAGAATATTTACAAAGAATAAACCGAACAAAAAAATCTCACATCTGACCCCGCAACGCAGGGTTTCTCACCTAGTTTGTATTATGCGAGATTAATTGTCATTCAATTTGATAATTGTCATTCAATTTGAAAATTAGTACATTGATAAAAAATTTAAAACAATTAACATGTATATCTAGTTGACTTCATAATTTTGGGCCTAATAAAAAAACCATATGTTGGGTGTGGGCAACATGTTATCACACTCAAATGTTGCCACCTCACTAGCCATGTCATATATGGTGTTATAACACCAAGTTTGGAAATAAGCAACATGTTATAACGCCCTCTAATTTCCATGTCATCATTTATTTTTTCTTTATTTAATTGTTTTTTTAATAATTATAAAAAAAAATTAATAAAACAAGTCATTTTAATAAATGCTAAATTAAACATAAAATTTCAAAAAAAATACAATAAAGGACGAAAACATTTAAAAACATAAAAAACATTAAAATTAAAAAAAAATACATTTTTTACCCTAAATTATTCATCTTCGTATATATAATTTGCAAAGTCTTCTCAAAGTTGCATGAGTTTTCGTTGGTCTTGGATATCAACGACTCTATATAAATATTCCCTTGTCCTTGGTTGAAATTGCACTTGTCTAGGTTCCGTAGCCAAATATTCTGCAATATTTCGTCCTTTATCTTCAATCACTATCGTATGCATTATGATACATGCATATATAATATCTCGTGTAGCCCAAAACCTAACCCAATAAGCTAAGTCCACTCAAATTTGGGTCTTAGCCCAAGCTTTCTCGGCCCAAGCCCTTACTTGGGCCAAGACTCTCTTATTGGGCCCTAATGGGCCGATAACCTCTCAAATTGATCCTTTTGAGCCGAAAACTCTCTTTTGGGCCCTAATGGGCCGAAAACTTTTATTTAACATTGTTTTGGGTCGTAAGACCCTTATTGAGCCTTATTGGGCCGTGAAATTTATTCTTAGACTATATTGGGTCGAAAACCTATATTTGGGCCCCAACGAACCAAAAATTCTTATTGGGCCCTATATTGGGCTGAGAACCTCATTTTTAGTATTAATGGGCCTTGTTGGGCCGAAAGCCCTCTCATAAAATCTCATTGGACCGAAGATTTTTCTTTGGGCCCTAATGGGCCAAAAGTTCTCACTTAAATTCCATAAAATCATACTTGGGCCGAAAACCCCTTAATTGGGCCAATACCCTTCCTAGAACATTATTGGGCCGAAAACTCCTTGGAGCAAGTCAAGTTCGAAGCCCACAAACATTTTTGGGCCAACCTTGGGCCGAGACCCCCCCTCCTGGCCGGTTAGGGTTTGGTTATAAAAACAAACGCTAAGAGGATTTATCTAAACATGCCACCTCAATATTGCATGGCAAATAACAATGCATTTACCCTCCATGCAACTAAGCAACCTCACATCACCCTAGCTAGAAGTCAACCCCTATCACCCCCGCTCCTCTTGGTTCGGCCGAATGCATCTTCCCCTCACCTTTTTCATTTCGAAAATTTACTCTCACTTCTCATTTCCTCTCAAACCTTCAACACTTCTCTCATTCTTTTTCTCCAAAAATTCGTGAGTGTGCTAGTGTGTGTTAAGAGTTTTTCTTCAAGATTCATAACTTGGTAAGTTGATGACAAACTCCATTGTCTTGTTCCACGTTTTACACTAAAAATTCTTCTTCTTACATTCCATTTTCGTGTTTAAGGTTTTGGAACACCATAACTTCAAAAATCTATTCAAGAGAGCAAGCTAGAACCGAAAACCTTCTCCGTCTTCCTCTACAAACCGAAAAAAGCCCCAAGGTGAGCTTCATACCCCTTATTTTCGAGTTTTCTTTCTTTTGGGGGACGATACAAGTCTAGTCTTGTGTAAGATATTTGTATATTTGCATGTATTTGTGTGTATGTATGTTTATGTGTGATGAAATGTTTATATTTCAGGCTTACACTCCAAGAACTCGAGATTTTGCTAAGTCTCAAGTTGTTGGAGCTTAGTTATCTTGATATGGTTTCATTTATCTTGGTGCTTGTCAAAAAAAAATGGAAACAAGTTACTAGGAGAAAAAAATTGATCTTTCTTGATTTGTGTTAAACATCACAAAAATATGTCCAAGAAAATGTTAAAATAAATTTTTGT